AAAAGAAGGGCGCCAAAGTAATGAGAGTTAAGTGGGGATAATTCATGCAAGCTCACTGAAAAGGTCAGCCATCAGGAAGCCGCCTCAAGAGTGCATCTCGGGTGACAAGGACACTAAACTTGAAGAATGCATGGAGAACTTCTTAAATGCTAGGGATCTAAGTGTCGTAACGACTTTACAAGCATCTTAGTGGAATAGTGGACTAGAGGAACACGTTGTTCCTTGAACCACTATAAAAATCCCCGAAGTCATAAACTTACTGCTTTTACTTCTTGTACTTAGGATTCTAACTACCTTGCTTTAAAGTCCGTAGTATTTGTGTTCAACAGAATACGCCTTAAGAGAAGCAGAAAGGCTCTTTGCCTTTAGTATGTTCTGTAGGCTGGCCGACGAGAACAACTTTTTATGTTGCAGACCTGTTCTAACCAGAACAGCGCCAGTTTTGTGAGATATATAGTTTCTGTCCCGCAAAGAAAAAAAACAGTCTATTCACCCCCCCCCCCTCTAGAGTCTAGACTGTTTTTCTAATATAAACCGAGACCGACACACCAGCTATCGGGATGGGGGGTGACGAAGAAGCGAGAGATCGACAACATCAGTGATGACGACGACTCTGAAGGCCGCCCCATGGAAACACCACACCATTTTCATAGCAGGAGGCAACACGCGAGGTGACTCAGGCACCCTGCGCAAAAAATGGGCCTAGTCGCTTTGTATTGACGAGGTATCCCATGCGCTTCCCCAAGATAAGAGATTCAAGTCGGACCCTATATTCTTTTCTGATAAGGATCTTTCTGATGGTGCCCATCTCACAGGGACACCCTCGTCATCAAATGCTACACAGGGAGCTCGGTTAATATCATGTACGTGAGCACCTTCAAACAGCTCGCTCTTAACCGAGCTACCCTTTGGTCGATACGAGCGCCTCTCTATGACTTATATTTTTTCATGCTTATATTTGAACTATACATAATAAAGTATTCGTTATCCACTTTCATGGTACAAGGTCATTTTTTTGGATCAAGGGTAATTATATATATCATCCAAAGAGTTTATGTACACGTAAAGAAAAAGGGGATAAAAATAGGGCTATCCCAACATGGGAAAATCCATCACCTCAAAAACTATACAATCAAGCCCAAACACAAAAAGAAAGGTGATGGGCCAACACACGTCATCAAGTATAAAAAAGTAATAAGCTCATGGGGGTAAATATTATAAAGGATCTTATACACCGTGTATTTGATCCTAGCAAAAACATCCTTCTCTTTAGCTTTGGGATCATCAAATATGGTTGCATTTCACGTTCTCCACAGCCAATATACGGTGTAGATGAAGGCAATCCGAACTGTTTTGGCCTTTATCCCCGCTCCTCCATGGTCCTTGATCCATTTCACCGAGCTGTCCAGTGTAGACATCTGTCTAGGCATTCCAATCCATGCTCTAACTCTGCTCCAAACTACACATGTAAATTGACAACCAAAAAATAGGTGTGGTACCATCTCCGGTTCACCCTTGAAAAATGGGCGGATGTTAACCAATTCAAGCCTACTAAGATTATCATATGTTGGAAGGCGGTTGCGGAAGCCAAGCCAAACAATGAATGAGAACATAGGTGGTATGTAGGCTTTCCAAATAAAGGACAACCAAACATGCTTAGTTCCGGTTATTCTAATCAAGTCATAAACTTTAGAAGAGCACAATTTATTATTGATAGTCAGAAGGGAAAGACCTTCAATTGTGCTCTCAATAGAATCAAATTTAGATACAAGGACAAGGAGGTCTCGGATTAGCCCAATCTTTTTCATAAGTTGAAAGTCCATATTGGTACAGGGTCCTTTAAATATCTTTGATATGAGTCTCTTATCCACTCTCATGGTGTAGGATAGTATTAGTCATAACAATATAATCATCACTTTCATATATATATATATATGATATTTATATGACTAGTTTTTGTATACGTTCATTGATTATTATTTTTTTCAAATCTTGTTCCAATAACTTGTTAATGCTAGTCATGAACTTATTTTCTTGAAAATATATTTATACAACACCAAAAGCGTAAAAGTCCATTTTATAGGTGAAATCACAATATTTGACAAAACATTTAACAAATAATAATTAGTGATTGAAATGACACAAGAAGCATTCACTAAAGTGTGAGCTTATCATGCAATCTTGTTGATGTTCTGATTATTCAATTCTCCGAGCAAATCATCCATTTATTATTGTTAAGACTTTTATTATGTCAACAACCCAAAGATGAGCTACAATTTTGCATTGAAGGATAGTTAATGAAGTTTACTTTTGACGATTCTTGTCGCATTAATGGACTCCCTTATTCCAGACAAAGGCCAATGTTCTCGACCGACAAAGACTCGAAGGGGAGGCTGGAAGTACTCTGGTGGATCCACAGACATTAGCTTCAAACTGTTAAGGAATAAAGTTCAGTATCTCATGCATACCAAGAAAGGAGATTCTTTGGACATTGTAAAGTTGATCTCGGTTTTTCATGTCAATGCGTTTTAATTGTGAATGATTAACAACTTCAAAAAAATGTTACTAGTAGGTTGATAAACACGAAAAATGTGTTAGTAGCATCAAGATTCTAAAAATCGGTCTAGGCACCCGCCCAGGCGCCGACTAGTCACCTGGGATGTTTTCTTTTGGATTGAATTTTGCTGGTCTGATCTGGTAAATGTTTGGTCTCTATGTACTTTATTATAACTACGCAAGTCTGATCTGGTCTGATCCGATCCGATCTAGAATGGGACTGAAAACAGTCCAAAAGAAAACATCCTTGGTAGTTTTCTTTAAGTGGTAGGGGGCCTTGATTTCATGGTAATCGGTAAGAAAAATTAGTTCGGAGCCTAAGTAGGAACAAACCACCCAATCCAAACTAGGGGTGGACCGGGCCCGTGTCGGGACCGAGTCTGGGTCGGGTCACGGGCGGGACTAGGGTTGGAAGTTGGAGGCCCGGTACCGGCCCGGGTAGGTTCCGGGACCGGACCGGGCTCGGGTCAAGATCGGGTGTTTTTTATTTTATTTTTTATTTTCTTATTTATTCCTACCCACCCCCAAACACCCCCAAACGACCCAATCCAATCCAACCCAATCCGTTCGAGAAAATAAAAAAAATGGCCTGGACCAGTCCCGGACCGGCCAGGCCGGTTCCAAGAGGGCTACAACCCGCCCCCAAAAGGCCAAAACACTCCCAGGTCGGGTCCTAGGCCCCGTCCCGGTCAACCGGGCCGGTCTAGTACCGCACATTGGCGGTCCGAGCACCGGTCCTAGTCCAACCCTAATCCAGACCCGGTTAAAAATGATAAATAAATCAAGGATAAAGTTGCTAAATATGACTATTGTTAATTTATTCATAGAATATGACTTGTTCAATCATATTTTGGGAAACTTTAATCAAATTATTCTTTTAATAGAACTAAGCCCTATTTGAGGAGTAAAAGTGTAAAACATACTTAGTCATACTTTTGAGCTTGGACCATAATTTTATCCTATATTGCACAATTTCTATTACGGAGTACAAATTTGGTACATGCCAGGTCCTAGATGTAATATACTAAACAAAACAAAAATAATCTTTGTACCCACTCTTATACCGACTTTTGTACCCACCTATGTTTGTGAAGTGTTTTTTTTGTCTGTGAACCTCGATTCACAGACAAAAAAAACATTCACAAACATGGTGGGTATAAGAGTGAGTACATCAAACATTGTTGTAAACAAAATTGGGTTGCAAGAAAAAATCCAACATAGGCTGTACAGATCATACAACCGTGGCTGGCAGGGGCTATGCACAAATCAGGACAATGGTCATGCCAATATGCCAGGCCAGTCTCATGCTACTCTCTCTAGTTTCTTACATGATTGTAGCAAATCCGGCCGGCCACTTGCTGAATCAGCCAGCAAGCATTACATGGAATTAAAAATAAAAATAAAAAACATTTCTTTATTTATATAACTACATACACATATGTGTGTGCCTATATACACGACACTCAAATCTCAATGAAGTCTAACATCAGGGGCACGTACAAATTGGAATGGTGTTTGGAGTGTTGCTCACCCAAACACCTAACCTACGATACATGTGCCCATTCATTCAGTGTGTTGTTTTCCGTGCCCCGCTAAAGCTAAGCCTCGAAAGCAACGGCCTTGGGACCGGAAGACAACATTGTCCCCGCTTTTGTGAGTTTGGTGAAACGTCGAGCTCTTGACTTTGGCTTGCAGCAGTGCTGCATGCAGATGATGGTGGTGTTCCTTGCAACTTGGATTTAGGCGGCTCGCTCATGGAATAATATTCACCCAAAGCATCAAACTCTTTATTGCTGCCTAGACTTTCTTTGAAAAGCTCTGCAAGTCTCTTCTTCCGATCAGTGGTAAGAAGAGGGGAAGAAATGGGAGATTTGGCTTTATTAGGAGTAGGAGATCCCCCTGCTGAAAATCTGTGATGGATGGGCGTACTCCCTCGTGATGGTGTAAAATCTGCAATTCATGCAAGTACATAAATTATTACTATACTGTGTGTTTTATGCACTACTACTTCTACTCGATCCATACCAATACCATTCAAGAAGCTAGATTGATTATGTTAGGAGGAAGGTATTATAATATGATCAATCGACGTAATGTAAATGTAATGTAATGATGATCCAACATTATAACTATATGCTTTACATTACTCTCTCCGACCCCATACTTTCATTTTTAATCCATCTATTGCTCTCTACATTAAAAGGCGAGCACACGTCTAAGACCGTAACCAACAATAACTCCATAGTTGTTACGGCGGGGTTTTGCGGCGCGGCGCCTTTGGACTGCCATACCGCCATGGCGATATGGCGCCCGTCGTGGCGGAGTCGCGGCGATAAGTCGACATATACATTAATAAATTCATAATATGTTTTACATACTAAAAAGCCTACATGCAACACTTATACCCAACAATACTAATGAAGTAAATGAAGTAATTAAACATGTAATCATAGAAATAACATAATCCATAAGACCATAACCATAAGCATATAGTTCATCAAAACAACCACAAACATTATCCATAATCCAAAAACTAGAAAATAGAAATAAGTCAATAACATAATCCAACATAAAAAGACTTAAACATCATCAAGGAAATCGTCAAATCTAGAGTCAGCTTGGTTGTTATGAATGATATCCATGGCATCCTGATCCTCATCATCGACGTCTAAATCATCATTTGGAAATGGTTCACTCTCTTGACCATTCTCTTCAACATCTGTATCATCATTACGACGCCGAGAATAAACCCTAACTGAACTTGAAGGTTCACCACCATCACCTCTCCTAGGATTACGGCGATCTAGATTTCTTGAAGCACCAAGAGCTTCATCAACTTCATCCCATAAAAGATCATCCCCATGGTGAACTACTTGACTACCAGAATCATCAACCCACTCATTATCCCAAGAAAACTCTTCTAAAACCAAAGGGTTGAAACTACTTCCTTCTTCACGCCTCTTTTTGAACCTGTTGACAATCTTCCTATTGTACTGAATGAACACCAAATCATTCAGTCTCTTATGCTCCAACCTATTTCTTTTCTTGGTGTGGATCTAAATAAATAAATAAATAAAATTATTATCATTTGAAGTAAGTAGTTAAAAACCTAAAGACTTCAAAAGGATGGCGTAACTTACAAATTCAAACGTACTCCAATTGCGTTCGCAACCCGAAGAAGAACAACAAAGGCCTATTATGCGTAATGCAAGTGATTGTAGCTCCAAAGCATGGCCACCAAAAGCATTCCACCAATTGACTAATAAGTAATAAAAATCACAAGTGTTTTAAGAATTCATATTTTATAAGTCATAAAAAATTAAAATAAATACTATTATTTTAGTAACAACTAACAAGGTATGACTTACGAGGCGCCTTGGTTTTTTGATGTTTGATTGGCAATGGCTTTGCAAATCCTCCTCGCAAGAAATCATAATCATCAACTTGTTTGCTAATCTTGCACTCCAACTCATCATCACCAATCATCTTGTAAACCACATCATTGAACAACGCTCGTTGCTCATAAGCATATGCAGTATCAGTCCTCTTCAAGTCAAAATACTTAGATGGGTTGAGAAATAAAGCAGCCCCATACAACTTTACTTCCATTTGATCTGCCCAGCGATCCTCAAAAATCTTCATTAGCTTTTTCAACACTCTGGGCCTACCTGCAAACGACTCATTTATTTTTTTCTTAGCTTCTCTCATAGCCATGGCAAGCTCAGGCATAGCCGGGTGCTCATCCCCATCAACTATCCTTAGAACAACAAGAAGTGGATGACATGCTCTCAAGGTATCCTCCACCCCATTCCAAAATTTAGTAGCAAGAATAGTGTCACATACCCTTTGCCCCACTGCTGTACTTGACAACTTCGAATTATTCCAATCTTGACTCACAAACAAGTTCCTCAAAGGTTCTCTATACTTGCACAAACTTTGCAAAGTGAGAAATGCTGTGGCAAACCGTGTAACACCAGCCCTCACTAGATCTCTTCCACCAGTTCTCTCCCGCATTGCGCTTAGAATCCTTGTGTGCCTATAAATAAAAGTGGTGCAACGTCTTGCACTATCAATCCAGGGCTTAAACTCAACGAGTTTCCCAATATCCTCCATCATAAGATCTAGGCAGTGAGCCGCACAAGGAGTCCAAGAAAGTGTGGGTATACGCTGCTCCAGTAGCTTCCCAGCGGCTTTGTAGTTTGCTCCATTATCTGTCACTACTTGAATGACATTCTCTTTGCCAATCTTTTGAATCTGTTTCTCAAGCAATGATGCTAACAGACTTGCATCCTGTGACTCATGCGAAGCATCAATCGACTCTAAGAAGAAAGTCCCTTCTGGACTATTAACGAGAAAATTTACCAAATGTCGACTCCTTTTATCGGACCATCCATCCGACATGAGTGTACATCCATATTGCTTCCAAGCAATTTCATGGTTCTCCTTCAACTTTTCTGTATCCTTCACAGCTTCCTCCAGAAGAGGCACCCTTAATTCATGATAACTCGGAGGTTTCAGTCCGGGGCCAAACTGCCCGATTGACTCAATCATAATTTCATAGCTTCTTGAGTTTGCAGCATTGAACGGTATGCCATTCTCATAGAAAAAATCAGCAATGTGCCCATGAACTTTCTTGACCTCTTCTTTGGATCTAGTACAACCCTCAAGAGTCTGTTGACTCTTCCCCTGAGAATGCCTTTCTTCTATCACTTCTTCAGGTGACTTTCTGATCATTGAAGCAACAGAATTAGTTGGTTTACCTGATTTTGGTAGTGAATGCTGAAATTTTAGAGTGGCCTGCGCTACACGCTTCCTTTTTATGGCTGTTCCAGAACTAGGAACTGGATGGATAGAAGAAGCACGAGATGATACTTGTGTCACATGATCCTCGTCCAATTCATCATCTTCATCATCCAATTCAACAGGCACTGGCATTTTATTCTTCATTTTGCTCTTCATATAATTGCCTATCTTAGTTCTTATTTCTGCAGTTGTCTTTGCGCATTTTTCAACATCCCCGTAACCGCCAACTAAGTGTTGCTTCAACCGTTTAACTCCGGAATGAACTTGTCTTCCACAAAGTGCGCATTCTACCAAGTCCCGGTTATTCTTGTCCGGCCAAAAACCAAATTCCCATCCGGGATCATCCGATTTGGGTTTTCTGCTAGGATCTTTTGATGGATCATAAGTTTCCGGATCAGCCATGGTAAGCACTGTTTAAAAAATTTATCAACTGTAAAACTAAATAACAAAAATTTTCACATTTAATATTAAAAAAATATATATATTAAATGTAATACAACACCGTCACACAACATAAATTTCAGCTTGAATTGAAGACACTGAAAAAATTAGGAAATATAAAATTTAAAAAAAACTACTGAAATTTATTCATTATTTGGGAAAAACTGAAATTTGTTTTCACAAATATACAAACTGACTTTTCAAAAGCTTTTTGACTTTCTGTAAAACATTATAAAGTTCATCACAACATTAAATACAACATTAAGTTCAAAGCATTCAACAAAATATTTAATAAAATTTATTTTGAAAAATATTAAATACAACCAACGGTGTTTTTTGAAAACATTAAATACAAAGTTACTCACTGGATGATTTTAAACCCACGTAATATACAAAGTTAGATGATTTTAAACCAAGTACCCAACTGGAGCAATAAGTCTAATAATTAAAATAAAAATACGAATCAAATACCCACTAAAGTTAAAAGCCCAAGTCTAGAAATAAACTGAAGATACAAAGCTGCGGACGATTGAAGCGACTAAGAGAGGCTCGCCATTAAAGACGGAAATACCTTGCGGACGATTGAAGACGGAAGGGAAGTAGTAGCGTGCGGACTGCGGGAGATGGCTTGAGCGCAGATGGGACTCTGCGTTTAGACTACAGGAGATGGATTGAGCGCAGATAGGTCTGGTTTATTTTTTTTTGATGGGTTCAAAAAATTGGGTTTGTTTTTGGGCCTTTTCAAATAATTATGTTCTGCGTCCAGTTCAAATAAGTCGTCGACTAGGCGTCTATGGCGTTTTACCGACGCCACAAGGACGCTACTTCGACGCCACAAAGTTTATGGCGTGTCGACAGCCTATGTCGATCCTCTGTTACCGCCTGGACGCTTTGGCGACGATAAGGCGACGCCATGGCGACGCCATGACAACTATGAATAACTCTCAAAATTACAAAATTGAAGGTAAGATAGACTGATAGGAATCTATCAATAGTAGGTATATAATAACAACAGTTTTGCTTCGTATTGATAGTATTGAAAGAAAACAGTCTGAAACCAGAATGATCCAACGTAATTACAAGGTATGAAACTGAGAAAACAGGAATGAAATCATAAAAGGGTTTTTTAGAGTCCTCACTCTCCTATGGACAAGCCAAATTCCAGTCTGCCCAACTCCAATAGGCTCTCCCCGCTATATTCCCCTCTGCGCCCACTCTCACTGCACGCACCCACGTCCTTGCACGTTCCCAGGTGGCCAGGAGTTAGTTATTAGAGGCGTGATCCCCTATAACCGGCCCTACCATATTTCTTTTTTTCTTCCTGATATATACTTTGTCAAATATACCCCCCTTTAATGTATCATTAAAGGGGAAAGAAAGGAAATTCCCTCTTGAATTTAGTCACCAGCTCCCACGAGTTCTCAAATTCAGGCAAGCCTTGCCACTTGATCAACACTTCTAGCTCACCCTGGGCATTTGTTCTCAGCTGCTTGACAGCTTCTGGTTGAACTTCCAGCAACCATTCTTCATTCATACAGGCTGGGAGGGGTTGAAAATCTACTGTGGGGGCGATTGCCTTCTTCAACAGGGAAACATGGAACACTGGATGCACCTTACTGTCTGGAGGCAGCTTGAGCTGATAAGCAACAACTCCAATCTTCTTTTCAATCTCATAAGGACCATAGTAACGTGGGCTCAATTTCTGGTTGATTCGCTTAGCCAAACTCTTCATCTTATATGGCTGGATTTTCAAGTAAACCATCTCTCCTATCTGATACTCCACAGGCCTTCTATGCTTGTTAGCTTGAGCTCTCATTCTATCCTGAGCCTTCACCAACTGCTCCTGCAATTCCTTGATCATGTCATTTCTCTCCGCTGTTAATCTGCTGACTTCATCAACCGAAGAATGATGAACATCACCTCGTAAAAGCACCAGTGGGGGTCTGCCATACAAAGCTTCAAATGGAGACATTTTTACAGACGAGTGATGGTATTATACCAAAATTCTGCCCAGTTGAGCCACTTGGGCCACTGGTTAGGTTTCCTACCGGTTAAACAACTGAGATAGGCTTCCAAACATCTGTTAATCACTTCGGTTTGCCCATCAGTTTGTGGGTGGTATGCACTGTTGTACTTCAATTTAGTGCCTGCTAGCTTGAATAGTTCAGCCCAAAAACTACTCAAAAACACTCACTTTATCTCTGTCAGATATGATGGATTCCGGGAAGCCATGTAATTTCACTATTTGCTTAATGAATGTTTCTGCTACACTCTTAGCTGTATAGGGGTGACTAAGCGCAATGAAATGGGCATACTTAGTCATCCACTCATCCTATCTACCACCACCATAATAGTGTCCACTCCCATAGCCTTAGGTAAACCGCCAACGAAATCCATTGTGATGTCGCTCCATACCTGTTGGGGAACAGGTAGTGGTTGCAAAAGTCCTCCCGGACTCAGAGTTTGATACTTATTTCTCTGGCATACCTCACAAGATTGCACATAGTCTTGAATTTGTTTCCTCATTCCCTCCCAATGCACAAGAGCAGTAACTCTTTTGTAAGTTCTAAAAAAGCCAGAGTGACCTCCGATGGCCGAGTCATGCAATTCTTTGAGTATCCAAGAAATTCGGGGTGAATTTCGGGGAACCACAATTCTGTCCTCCTTATACAGCCTGCCTTTCTTCAACTGATACCCGGGATGACTGGCTGAGTCACCTAACAGATCCTGCACAATGCGTTTCAGCTTATCATCTGCTTGGACTTCATCTTCTAAGCCCTCCCAGATTTCACATCTCACAGTAGACAATGTTGCAAACTGCATTTGCCTGGACAATGCATCAGCGGCTCTATTCTCTTTCCCAGGCCTGTGCTTAAATCTCAAAATCATATCCCATCAGCTTAGAAACCCATTTCTGCTGCTCTTCACCCATAATCCGTTGCTTCGTCAAGAACCTTAACCTCTTTTGATCAGTTAATACTTGGAAATGCCTTCCCAGTAGATACGGTCTCCACTTTTGAATAGCAAGGACAATTGCCATCAATTCTCTCCCATAGACAGATTTTTGTTGAGATCTATCAGAAAGAGTTTGGCTCATATACGCAATGGGTCTGCCTTCTTGCATAAGAACCGCCCCAATCCCCTTCCCAGATGCATCAGTTTCTATCACGAATTCCTTGTTGAAATCAGGGATAGCCAATACCGGCAGTGTGGTCATCATGGTTTTCAACAATTCAAAAGCCTGCTGTGCTTCCTCATTCCATAAGAAACGACCTATCTTTAACAAATGAGTCAAAGGCCATGCTATCTTACCATAGTTCTTGACGAATTTCCTGTAGTAGCCTGTGATACCTAAGAATCCCCTCAACCCTTTTAAGTCTTTTGGAGTAGGCCACTTGAGCATATCTTCAATTTTTCTGGGGTCCGCTGCCACCCCCTGCCCTTGAGATTAAGTGACCTAGGTATTCAATTTGAGACTGTCCAAAACTACATTTCTTCTTATTTGCATATAACTGATTAGTTCTCAGCAACTCTAGAACCTTTCTCAAGTGCTTTTCATGCTCCTCCATACTCCCATTGTACACTAGTATATCATCAAAGAATACTAGGGTAAATTTTCTCAAAAATGGTCTCAACACTTGGTTCATCAATGCTTGAAAGGTTGAGGGCGCATTGGTCAAAGCCGAAAGGCATGACCAAATACTCATAATGGCCCTCATGGGTCCGGAAGGCTGGTTTGTGAACATCTTCCTCTCTCATTCGAATTTGGTGATAACCCGATTTCAAATCCAGTTTAGAGAACACTACAACAGTTCCGAATTCATCTAATAATTCGTCAATGATAGGTATGGGAAACTTATTAGGTACCGTTACCTTATTGAGTGCACGATAATCGGTACAAAAACTCCATCCGCCATCTTTTTTCTTTACCAACAAAACCGGACTTGAAAAAGGGCTAGTGCTGTGCCTCACAATGCCTGACTGCAATCTCATTCTTTTGGTAAAAAATATCTATAGGGCCTGATATGGGGTATCTCAGCACCAGGTTTCAAGATAATGGCATGATCATGGTCATGAGGTGGTGGGAGCCCTGCAGGCATGTCAAATACATCCTGAAATTCCTTCAACAATTCAAAAAAAATATGGTCAGTATTGACAGTATCACCCCCTTCCTCCTGCTGCACTATGAAGCCCACTCCCTTGTCTTGCAATGCCTTCCACAAGGCTTTCCAGGAAGCTTGCCCTGTGCAGAGAGATGGATCACCGTGTATGATGTGCTTCTTCCCATTCCTAGTCCATTTTAGGCTCAAGTTTTTGAAATTTGCCTCTATGTTCCCCAAACCAGCCAACCAATCCAGTCCCAACACCACTTCTCATCCTCCCAAATCCATTAGATAGAAGTCCTGATTGAACTCTATCCCTTGAATTGTGAAACAAACATTGTTGCAGACCCCGTTGTTTCTGATTTGCTCCCCAGTTCCCACCTCCACGACAAAAATTGGAGTCTCTGTTATTTTCAGTTTCAAAATCTCAGCAATCTCCGGGGACACAAAACAACTTGTTGCACCTGAATCAATCAAGGTTAATATCCTCCTACCTCCAATCATCACCCATACCTTGAAGGACTTGTGGGTAGCAACCCTTTCTCTGCTTTGCAAGGATAATTGTAGAGTTTTAAACTCTTCTACAACCTCACATTCTTTAAATTCCTCTTCGTCACTACTTCCCCCTTCACACAACATCAGCCTCAGGTGCTTCATTTTACATATATGCCTTTTACCCCATCTATCTCCACATTTAAAACACAACCCTTTCTTACTTCTTTCTTCTAGTTCAGCTTGGCTTAGTGACTTCCTTTTCCAGCCTTCTCCTCCTTTACCCCCGGTAGACCCATCTTTCCGGTCAGCTTACTTTTTGTCTTTGTTGTTATCCCACAGGCTTCGAAACTTAGGAGTATAGGTCCTGTCTT